TAAGAAAGGGTGCTGGATTTTGTCAAAGGCCTTTTCTGCATCGATTGACAGGATCATATGGTTCTTCTCTTTTTTTTTGTTAATGTGATGTATCACGTTGATTGATTTGCGAATGTTGAACCAGCCCTGCATCCCAGGAATGAATCCCACTTGATCATGATGAATAATTCTTTTTATATGCCGTTGAATTCGATTTGCTAGTATCTTATTGAGAATTTTGGCATCCATATTCATCAGGGATATTGGCCTGTAGTTCTCTTTTTTTACTGGGTCTCTGTCTGGTTTAGGAATCAAAGTAATACTGGCTTCATAGAATGAGTCTGGAAGTTTTCCTTCCCTTTCTATTTCTTGGAATAGCTTGAGAAGGATAGGTATTATCTCTGCTTTAAACGTCTGGTAGAACTCTCCTGGGAAGCCATCTGGTCCTGGACTCTTATTTGTTGGGAGATTTTTGATAACCGATTCAATTTCTTCGCTGGTTATGGGTCTGTTCAAGCTTTCTATTTCGTCCTGATTGAGTTTTGGAAGAGTGTGGGTGTTCAGGAATTTGTCCATTTCTTCCAGGTTGTCCAATTTGTTGGCATATAATTTTTCATAGTATTCCCTGATAATTGTTTGTATCTCTGAGGGATTGGTTGTAATCATTCCATTTTCATTCATGATTTTATCTATTTGGGTCATCTCCCGTTTCTTTTTGAGAAGCCTGGCTAGAGGTTTGTCAATTTTGTTTATTTTTTCAAAAAACCAACTCTTGGTTTCGTTGATCTGCTCTACAGTTTTTTTAGATTCTATATTGTTTATTTCTGCTCTGATCTTTATTATTTCTCTTCTTCTGCTGGGTTTAGGCTGCCTTTGCTGTTCTGCTTCTATTTCCTTTAGGTGTGCTGTTAGATTTTGTATTTGGGATTTTTCTTGTTTCTTGAGATAGGCCTGGATTGCAATGTATTTTCCTCTCAGGACTGCCTTCGCTGCATCCCAAAGCGTTTGGATTGTTGTATTTTCATTTTCGTTTGTTTCCATATATTTTTTAATTTCTTCTCTAATTGCCTGGTTGACCCACTCATTCGTTAGTAGGGTGTTCTTTAACCTCCATGCTTTTGGAGGTTTTCCAGACTTTTTCCTGTGGTTGATTTCAAGCTTCATAGCATTGTGGTCTGAAAGTATGCATGGTATGATTTCAATTCTTGTAAACTTATGAAGGGCTGTTTTGTGACCCAGTATATGATCTATCTTGGAGAATGTTCCATGTGCACTCGAGAAGAAAGTATATTCTGTTGCTTTGGGATGCAGAGTTCTAAATATATCTGTCAGGTCCATCTGATCCAATGTCTCATTCAGGGCCCTTGTTTCTTTATTGACCGTGTGTCTAGATGATCTATCCATTTCTGTAAGTGGGGTGTTAAAGTCCCCTGCAATTACCACATTCTTATCAATAAGGTTGCTTATGTTTATGAGTAATTGTTTTATATATTTGGGCGCTCCGGTATTCGGCGCATAGACATTTATAATTGTTAGCTCTTCCTGTTGGATAGAGCCTGTCACTATTATATAATGTCCTTCTTCATCTCTTGTTACAGCCTTTAATTTAAAGTCTAGTTTGTCTGATATAAGTATGGCTACTCCAGCTTTCTTTTGGCTTCCAGTAGCATGATAAATAGTTCTCCATCCCCTCACTCTCAATCTAAAGGTGTCCTCAGGTCTAAAATGAGTCTCTTGTAGACAGCAAATAGATGGGTCTTGTTTTTTTATCCATTCTGATACCCTATGTCTTTTGGTTGGCACATTTAATCCATTTACATTCAGTGTTATTATAGAAAGATATGGGTTTAGAGTCATTGTGATGTCTGTATGTTTTATGCTTGTAGTGATGTCTCTGATACTTTGTCTCACAGGGTCCCCCTTAGGATCTCTTGTAGGGCTGGTTTAGTGGTGACAAATTCCTTCAGTTTTTGTTTGTTTGGGAAGACCTTTATCTCTCCTTCTATTCTAAATGACAGGCTTGCTGGATAAAGGACTCTCGGCTGCATATTTTTTCTGTCTAGCACACTGAAAATCTCGTGCCAACTCTTTCTGGCCTGCCAAGTTTCAAAAGAGAGATCAGTCACGAGTCTTATAGGTCTCCCTTTATATGTGAGGGCACATTTACCCCTTGCTGCTTTCAGAATTTTCTCTTTATCCTTGTATTTAGCCAGTTTCACTATGATATGTCGTGCAGAAGGTCGATTCAAGTTATGTCTGAAGGGAGTTCTCTGTGCCTCTTGGATTTCAATGCTTTTTTCCTTCCCCACTTCAGGGAAGTTCTCAGCTATTATTTCTTCAAGTACCCCTTCATCACCTTTCCCTCTCTCTTCCTCCTCTGGGATACCAATTATGCGTATATTATTTCTTTTTAGTGTATCACTTAGTTCTCTAATTTTCCCCTCATACTCCTGGATTTTTTTATCTCTCTTTTTCTCAGCTTCCTCTTTTTCCATAACTTTATCTTCTAGTTCACCTATTCTCTCCTCTGCCTCTTCAATCCGAGCTGTGGTGGTTTCCATTTTGTTATGCATTTCATTTAAAGCGTTTTTCAGCTCCTCGTGACTGTTCCTTAGTCCCTTGATCTCTGTAGCAAGAGATTCTCTGCTGTCAGCTATACTGTTTTCAAGCCCAGCGATTAATTTTATGACTATTATTCTAAATTCACTTTCTGTTATATTATTTAAATCCTTTTTGATCAGCTCATTAGCTGTTGTTATTTCCTGGAGATTCTTCTGAGGGGAATTCTTCCGCTTGGTCATTTTGGATAGTCCCTGGCGTGGTGAGGACCTGCAGGGCACTTCCCCTGTGCTGTGGTGTATAACTGGAATTGGTGGGCGGAGCCACAGTCAGACCTGATGTCTGCCCCCAGCCCACCGCTGGGGCCACAGTCAGACTGGTGCGTGCCTTCTCTTCCCCTCTCCTAGGGGCGGGATTCACTGTGGGGTGGGGTGGCCTGTCTGGGCTACTTGCACACTGCCAGGCTTGTGATGCTGGGGATCTGGCGTCTTAGCTGGGGTGGGTAGGCAAGGTGCACAGGGGCAGGAGGGGCAGGCTTAGCTTGCTTCTCCTTAGGTGATCCGCTTCAGGAGGGGCCCTGTGGCAGCAGGAGGGAGTCAGATCCGCTGCCGGAGGTTTGGCTCCGCAGAAGCGCAGAGTTGGGTGTTTGTGCGGAGCGAGCAAGTTCCCTGGCAGGAACTGGTTCTCTTTGGGATTTTGGCTGGGGGATGGGCGGGGAAGATGGCGCTGGCAAGCGCCTTTGTTCCCCACCAAACTGAGCTCTGTCGTCCGGGGGCTCAGCAGCTTTCCTTCCCTTTGTCCTCCAGCCTTCCCGCTTTCTGAGCAGAGCTGTTAACTTATGACCTCCCAGCCGCTAAGTCGCGCTTGCTGTCGGAACACAGTCCGTCAGGCCCCTCCACTTTTTGCAAGCCAGACTTGGGGGCTCTGCTTGGCCGGCGAGCCGCCCCTCCGCCCCGGCTCCCTCCCGCCAGTCCGTGGAGCGCGCACCGCCTCGCCGCCCTTCCTACCCTCTTCCGTGGGCCTCTCGTCTGCGCTTGGCTCCGGCGACTCCGTTCTGCTCGAAATATTCTTATTTTAAAATTAAACAGACAACAAACTAGGAAAATGAGTGCATATATCCATACCTGCAATCAACTGACAGTGGGAAATAATACAAACTCAAGGAATAGCAAAGAGATTTATTTTCCCCTTTGTCATCTTTTCTGAGTCTGTGAAATCCCAAGGCACATCTGTTCATTTTCCAACTTTTCTGGCCTATCCTAATAATGGGGAAGGAAACTGGAATGAATGAATGAAAGAATGAGAAAAGACAAAAGGAGAAATAGATCAATTTTTCATGTATGACCTTTGTTTCATTCATTAAAGTTCAGATTATTACTAACAAATGATCAAGCCCAATGATCGACCCAACTAGAGTGTGCAATTTGATGATGTCAGTTGAATTTCTTTGTCTTGGAGACCTAGTGAGATAATAGGATTACAACTTAGATGCCACCCCAGAAGACTATATAAGGACTGAAGAGGTGAGAAGCCATGAAAAGAGAATAGGAAGAGCCATGAATAGAAAACAAGACTCAACAGACCCTGAAGAGCCTTATGAGCCCCCAGAGCCCAAGAAAGCGTAAGATAAAAATTATAGCCAAAATAGCAAAAGGAAATCATAAGTAAATTAACATATAACATAGAATTCTATAAACTTTATTCTTTGTCTCTTTGCTTTCCAAGTTAGTTGGTTTGATAAAACACCCCTTAAATAAAGCTTAGATTATTTCTCCATCGTCCTGTTTCAGTAGTTGTCTTAGAGATCAGTAAACGTTTGTCTGGGGTTGGGTTTAAGTTGTAAAGAAAATTCTTTCCTGCTCTTCTTGAATTTAAATACAATTTACTCATCCTGTTGAAATATAGTGGGAACTCCTTTTCTGTTGAAGAATAAGTTCATTTTTTTACTAAACCTGATTAGTTACTTCTTCCAGAGCATTAATGTTCTGAATGGGTTAAAGCCTGTTTTCATCAAAAATATAAAGTACAAGAATGAAAATGCATTTTGTTCTCAAAACAAAAAGTGAAAGAGAAATAAGCCAAATCAAGGAACTGCCCATTTCCTCCTGCACACCCTTTTTAAACATGCCTGTTCTTATCCCACTTTCTTCCTGCTATTTTCCACTTGGCTGTTCCATATCTAGCCAAACAGGGAGACTAGAATTTCCTTGAATTTCTATGAATCTATTTTGTGAGTTCGAGTTGTTCTTTGCTGGCAAGCTCAAATGCATGCTGTTCGAAAGAGACAAGTTTACAAAGTAATGAAGTTTTTTAGCTGACCAGTTTCCCAGTTTGGAAACTCGATGGGTCACTTAGCTTTTCTGTGCTTTAATTTCATCATCACAGAGCAGCCATGTAGCGACCATCTCCTAGTGTCTGATGATATTTTGGCCCTGAGTTTTCCTACAGCTTCTCTTAGGCAATGGGTTTCAGGGGAGGCTGTACGCATGCAGAATTAGTGTGCATACTGTACACTGCTTTTATCGGATTCTGAAAGGAACCCATGAACCCAAAAAACAGGTTTAGAAAAATCCAAGTTGCCTTAGGATCTCAGGATGATGGAAGGAAGTATGCAAATAAATTCGCACTGGAGGAGTTGGAAATCTAATTAGGGAGCCAAACTTAATGCAGCCGATACAATGGGAGAACCATAAAAGGCAAACATATCCAAGAGCTTCATTTTGTGGTGCAGTCTGCGGGAGGCCAGAAAAAGAGGGAGAAGAGTGAGTATGCAGAAGAGAAGGCTTCCTGGAAGAGGTGAGAGTCAACATCCCTCTGTTCTCCTATCTCAGGCTCTTGTCCTGGCATGTTCGTGTTGAGCACATAAAGTAAGTAGGCATTTGTTTCTTCTCTAACATGTTAGCCATTCAGGTTATAAAGCTGAAATTGTGTAAGAGTGTAAGTAATTGTAACCCTCTCTGCTAACCATTTTGACCATGCTCCTTTTAGAAACTGATAGAGACAACACTGACAATGCTTTTAAATAATAATCAGTAAGTAGTGTTAGCTAAATTTGTGAGTGCTATTTCCCTCCATCATCTTGTAAATTGACTTTGAAAACTGAAGCTGGTTTCTGTGACCCACCCCACGTTGTTGGGCCTCACTGTCTCCCCCTAGCCATCACCTTCAATGAATACCAAAATGGCAGACTCATTTTACCATTGCCTGAACAAAAACTGTCCTGTGGGATGCAACTTTATGAAAAGAGAATGCATGCTTAAGTATTTAAAGAATTCTAACGACTTGCATCCTCTGAGCTACTTCTGCCCTTCACTAGCAGAAATAATTGCAGTGCCCATACCAGGAAAATAGAACTTTATCTTCTTTAGATGGTATCTCTATATTGTCCGTCATCTTTATTGCATTTCCTGTTTCACCTTCCTGCTCAGGGCCTTCGGTCCTTAATTCACTTCACAGGAAATATACTCACATATGTGATACTTGAAATATATTTTAAGTAAAAAAATTAAAACTCCTTGGTGGACTATGAGTTATGGTTGGGAGCTTCAGCCCTTACCTTTTATTTTCTTAGTCAAATTACGTCTCTTAATCATATGTTTTTGACAGACTGCTGAATTTATGTCAATAACAACTAAAATTTACCTTAATTATCATTTGGAAATAAGTACAAATTGAAATGGAATTCGAATGAATGAATTGAAATTCAAAGTCCTCTTAATCAGAGACTTGTCCAGTCTGCTACATCATTAAGGGAAATTTCTAGATTTCTGTTCATGATACAATTTTTGTCCAACTTACTGGTACAGAGAGGAAAATCATGGAATGACCAAGAATAAGTAATTATTATGTACTGCATGGCGAAAATATGTTGTTCAACTTAGTAGTAAACCATGTCAGAACATCAAGATCACTTCTATCTGCAAGGCTTGCCTGGTGAGCTGTTCACCATCTTGCTGGCATGAGTCATCTGTTCATCCTTTTGGAGATCAGGCTTGCCTACAACATGGAATTTTCCGGAAACTAAAAAATACTGGTGACTGTGTCTCAAACTTAGAGATTTTGATTTGATGGTCTGGGGTGAAGCCAGAAAACTGGGATTTTGTAAAACATTCCGGGTGACTTTAATGGGCAACCAGGTTGAAAACCACTGCTTTAGACCCTACACTGTACCTGCACTGAAAAAAAAAAAAAAAAAAACTCTGTTTCAGCACATAGTAGATAAAAGGCTTTCTGGTTAAGCTAAAGAATGTCTCCGTTTCAAGGCCTTCTGCCAACAAATGCTTTATATCTAAAAGCATGCCTCATTCCTATACCTGTCTTACCTTGATCCTCCTTTTATTCATTGAGCATTTATTGTGTGCCACTGACTGCAATTTCAGATCCCTGCCTCCCCACATAGGTTCTGATCACTCCCTCTTTAAAATACCTGCAGGTTTCAAGGCAGTATCAGGTTCTTTTCCACCCCTGGAACTTGCCCCCTGCTCTGTCTTCATGCTTTGTCCTGGCAATGATTCTATCCATATTTCTAAGTATATCTTGAGTGTGAAAAGGCATTTCCCATTTTAGAGAATAAATACTAGGGAACATCTTTTTAACTAAAGGATTTGTGTTCTCATGGTGGTAATCAGTATTAGCATCAAGTGAAAAAAATGTGCCTCTCTACTAGGTAAATGCTGTACTTACAAAAAGGTAGGGTACTTACAAAAAGATCTAGAAATTTGCAACCCAAAATTAAGGAATAAGTTGCTTTTCCTTTTCAAGAAGCAACAAAGATGATCTTCTGCCCTTGAAATTGTTTTAGAGTCAGGCTGCATATTCAAAATAAAGGTGATAAATGTGTGTAGCAGAATGTGTTCAGATGGGTATTACAGATAATCGATGGGATTCAGCATCAAACACCATGCCTTAAAAATATCTAATTTACCAGCATGAGGGATTAAGCCATCTGATGCTAATAAAAATTGCTAAAAACCTAACAAGGAAGCTAGGTTGGCATATGGCTATATTTTTAATGAATGCCATCAGATAAGCTGGTAGATAGCTCTACCATTTAAATATTGGTAAGATAGAGTTAAATACACTTGGGATTGTTGATTAAAATTATCATGTTCCTTTTGTTCCTCTTAAGATTATAGCTATGTTTTCAACAAGTACTATATACTCAAAATAGAAAAGTCAAAAATTCATCAAAGTACAAAACAAGAATTATTTGTAATAAAACTGACCTAAGTCAACCACTGTTAACATTTTAGATTGTGTCCTTTTTTGATAGATAGATGATAGATAGATAGATAGATAGATAGAGATAGATAGATTCACAAATACAGATTTTATATTAAACAGGTTAATAGTGTACACAAAAGTTAATATCCAGGCACTTCTTTAAAAATTCCATGTCATCTTTTGGATTTCAGAGCTTCACCAATACCTGTTCTCATATTACTAAAGTATAATAACTTGATAAACCTGGCCAGTTATACAAATATTCTGAGGGCTGAGATAACATGCAAATAAACCTTACATATCAATGTGTGAAGGCTGGACAGACCACACAGTTCAAAATAGGAAGTGCACTCTGCAAAGCTAACTTGCACATTCACTGTCCGAGTTACAGCATCTTCAGGGGCGCCGTGTGTCAGGCATATCAACTCTTTTCAATAAAATGGTAAGTAATAGATTTTATGACTCTCCCTGGTCTCCTGGCAGACATCTCATCTTCTCTACTTAGGGCAGAAACGGGTAGGGATGATTCTCAGCCAGGTCCTCCAAGCCTTTGGGATTTTTGCTTGACCCATTGTTCCATTTGCAAATAAAACTGCTGAGTGTTATACCAGTTGAGTGTCTGTGGCTTCAGGATTTCCCCTTTCTGACTCTAGCCTTCAGACTAGAGGAAAGGCAATGACTTATGGAAAGAAAAGCTGCATTCTTTGTCTTTGCCTCTTTAAGAAAGTTAGGTGCCAGAATCAGTAATGTAGGCAAGTTTCCTATTATAAGCATTTTGGATCCCAGAAGAGAACCCCAATGATAAATGTTGGGCAATATTGCTGACGATGAGTGCCATTTTGACCACACTGTGGATTTTATAAAGGAGCTCTTTAGTTTAAAAATGCATTTTGTTATTTTAATTAAGAGAAGCAAACAAAACCCAAATAGTCCAAACCTTAGGGACAGGTTGTGTTCCCAAAGTTAATTGAAGCTCATTATTTGGAGCACATTGAAAATAGTGACTGGGTTCCCAGCTGTACTATAAAAACTAGCTTAACCCGTGGTATAGCTGAACTGCAGTGTTGGTATTGCGCTACATGTAGTGTTCTCATACATGTAGTGTTCTTATGCTCCCAGAGTCTAGAGGAGAGCTAACTTTCTATCCCATACGTCCCTTCCACCACTCCCCAGTTCCCAGAAGATTAGAGACGTAGTTATCCCTTCTCTCGTAAGGGAGAGGGTTGCTTCCTTTGCCAGCCCCTGGTGAAAAGACGGGGATTGAGACAATGACTCCTGCAGCTACTCAGTTGGGGAAGGGAATGCCCTGCAGGCATTGAGATAGAGAGGGCAAAGGGTTCATGGGATGTGTTTACAAGTCTGGAAACTCTCAAGCCAGAATGGGGAACTACAGAGGTGAGACATAGTAACTTTGCCATGGAGGAGAAGAGACGGGGTCAGAGTTATGGACTCATAGCAGGGATGAATGAGCAGCCATGGAGGAAATGGTGGCACACGGATCCTACCTGCAGCCACACTCTTAGAGGAAAGCAGTCACCTGTCAAGATGGCACTTACAAGTTCTTGTAATTAGGTTTCAGATTCTTAAAAGAATGCTTGACCTTAATTACTGATAGCCTTTCCCAAAATAAGTGATATTTACCGAGGTATTTAGATTTTTTTCAGGGGAAACAAGATGAATAACACCAAAAAAAAAAAAAAAAGTTTAACTGGATAGTGTGTATTTGGTGCAATATATAAGCAATGTTTTCTTAGGGGTTTACTGTCTCCCTATTACAGAAGTAACACATAGTGTTAAAGAAAATTTCTTAGAAATATAGATCTGCAGAAATGAAACAATATATGTTTTCTGTGGTTTCAACACCTGGGGGTGATCATTGTGAAGTAAATACAGATCCTTTAGAATTTCATCATTTTAAAATATATTTTATAAATATGATTTTCTATAAGTGCTATCATACTTTATAAGCCATTTCCTTACCTGCTTTTTTATTTAAAATATCTTGAATAATATCTGAGTTATGCTATCATTTTTAACGATGAATCATTTTTCCATGATTTAATCATTTCCATATAGTTAGACATTTAGATTGTTTCTTATTTTTCTTTCTTCATGGTAATATAGGCAATATATTCATTTATAACACATCACTGCTCAAGAAAGGCATAGAGTTGGCCCATGTTCTTTAGTACGTGATTCCACATTTTAGAAGTGGAAGGACATGGCAACAGAATTCTAATTCTCAACAGCTGCCCCTGTGTAAATTGACTTGATAACTTGGACAAATTATCTCACCTCATGGTGAAAATGAAAAAAATAGGGTAAACTCATCTTTATGACAAGTAATTTTAGGTACATTTCAATTTGCTTAATTTTCTGGATGAAAAAGGTGGAACAGATATCTAATGCAGAAATTTTTGTATGTTGATGGTGGGTGAGGAAAAAAATCTTTTATGAATACATTTGGAAGTTTAAGAAACGGAGTAATAATAGGTTTTGCAGTTTCTGTTTGTGTGTTTGCTTGTTTTGCTCCTTTCATTCAACTTTCAGTTGACGTGTGAGCTACTGACAAAAGAAATGTGCTATCACCCACACAACCTTTCAACAAAGATTCGTTGAGCCTCTACTCCAGGTCGGGGTTTGG